TGCCTAGCAATCCTAACGCCGTCTGCAACCTCTCCTCCGGTGCCACCCCCTGTTCCGAGGGTCGGGGCACGCCCGTCTTCCGGGACGTTGTTCTGCCTGCCATGATCAATGTCACATTACTTTTCACCGATGAATAGTGTTCCAGAACATGCACGTGTCGCAACCTGTCCCTCCTTTTCAGCGCAGGCGCACATTTGGGTGGCTTCCGGTTTCTGGCTGTTCCAAACAAAGCTGCTAGAACATTCACGTACCCGTCTTCGCGGGGGTGTATGCCTGACTGTCCCGTGGAACGGATTGCTGCCTCGTGGGGAGGGGCGTGTGGGATGTTCAAAGGCGTGTCCAAACGGCCTCTGCAGAGTGCCTGTGTGGCTCTCCCCTCGCGCCAGGGCCGCGTGGGGGCCCCAGTGCCTCCAGTGCCTCCAGTGCCCTCACCGGCACTTGGTAGGGTCTCTACTTCCCATTTTAGCCGCTGTACTAGGTGTTTCGTGGCCTCTCGCCGTGGGTTTCTTTTGCGTGTCCCGAACGACTTAGGAATTTGCGCATCTTTTCAGGTGCTCATCGGCCACTTGTGAATCTTCGTGGAGCGTGCCTGCAGACCCTTCCCCGTTTCTTTATTGGTGCACTTGTCTTATTGTTGGTGGGGAAAGTTCTTTATATATGCTAGCTACACGTCCTTTGTCGTTTTGCAAAATATACGTGTTTTGCAAATATTCTCTCCCAGCTGGTGGTTTCTTCTCACATCCTTTTGACAGTGTCTTTCGAAGAGAAGTTCAAAAAATTTTTTGGTGAATTCAAATTTATTGATTGTTTTCTTTTATACTGCTTTTTCTGTCAAGTATCGTGTTTGTTTGTTTTTTTAATTTTTTTTTAACGTCTATTTATTTTGAGACAGAAAGAGACAGAGCATGAATGGGGGAGGGGCAGAGAGAGAGGGAGACACAGAACCGGAAGCAGGCTCCAGGCTCTGAGCCATCAGCCCAGAGCCCGATGCGGGGCTCGAACTCACGGAACGTGAGATTGTGACCTGAGCTGAAGTCGGACGCTTAACCGACTGAGCCCCCCAGGTGCCCCATGTCAAGTATCGTGTTTAATAAATCTTTGCCGAGCTCAAGGTCAGTAAGATTTTCATCCCTGCTTTCTTCCACAAGCTACACAGTCTGATCTCCGACATGAGGTATACCCTCCCTTTTGAATTAATTCTTGCAAAGGCAATCCTTTCTCCACGGGATTGCCTCGGCAACCTGGCTGAAAACTGGGCGACCTCACGCGTGGACGCTGCTCCGACCGGAGTCTCCGGGTCAGGTCACTGAGTCATTCACTGTTCCTCTGCATCAAAGTGAGTTCACCTCCCTTACATCCTTGCATTTTTACACAGTCTGGAATCAGCTTGTTAATTTGTAAAAAAAAAAAAAGAAAGAAAGAAAGAAACAAAGAAAAAAAAAACTCCCGGGGTTTGATTCACACTGGGTTGAATCTATACAGCAGCTTGGGAAGAGCAGGCACCCCGGTCACATGGAATTTTTTCCTGTCCGTGAACCCTGCCTCTGTCCATTATTTCAGCTTCCTACCTTCTCTTGGAGCATCTTACAGTTTTTAGAGTGCGAGTCTTAGACGCCTTTTGTCAAATTTACCTACAAATATTTTCTATGTTTTTATTCTTTTTAAAATGGCATTTTGAAACCTCGATTTCCAAATGTTCGTTTCTAGTGTAAGAAATACAATAATAGGGGCGCCTGGGTGGCTCAGTCGGTTGAGAGTCCGACTTCGGCTCAGGTCATGATCTCGTGGTTCATGAGTTCGAGCCCCGCGTCGGGCTCTGTGCTGACAGCTTGGAGCCTGGAGCTGCTTCAGATTCTGTGTCTCCCTCTCTCTCTGCTCCTCCCCTGCTCATGCTCTCTCTCTCTCCCTCTATCTCTCTCTCTCTCAAAAATAAATAAACATTAAAAAGAAAGAAAGAGAGAAACACAACGGACTTTGTGTGCTGACCTTCTATCCTACAAACCCGCTGAGCTCACAGGTTGATGCTAGCGACTCACAGATTTTGTAGGGTCTCTAAGAAGATGATTTTGTCTTCCTCAAATAGAGCCAGTTTTATTTTCTTTCTGCTCTGAATGCTTTGCTTTCCTTCCCTGCTTGTACTGGCAAGACCTCGAGCACGTCATCGGATAGGAGGGGTGACGGCAGGCACCCTCCCTCTCTCCCGTCGGCGGAGAGAGTGCTCCGTCCTGCACCAGGAAGGGTCATGTCCGCCCTGGTGGTGTTATAGACGCCTGTCATCAGGTCGTGGGATTTCCCTTTCATTCCGTTTTCTGGGACCTTCTCTCAGGAATGGAGGGTAGGTTTTATAAAATGCATCTTCTGCACGTTTGAAGATGATCACACACGTTCGCTTCTTTTAGTCTGTTTGTTTATATGATGAACTAAAATTCATCAGTTTTCAAATGTCACAACCACCCGGCCTGCCGGGAAGAAGCCCCACTTGGTTGTGTATTATCTGTGTCATGTTAAGATTTTGTTAAGAATGTTCGCATTTCTGGGGCGCCTGGGTGGCACAGTCGGTTGAGCGTCCGACTT